GGGAATTGAAAGCTGCTGGCTTTGTTCCCAGGCTCGAAGGAATGGCATGCCGATAAAGATTAACGGATCAAAATGGCTTTATTCCCTCTCTCCTTCTCTGTCCAGCATCTTTCCTGCCATTAAGCGGTTCTCTCTGGGCCTTGTCTGCCTGTCAATCTACACTATAGGAAGTCCTTCCTTTCCAGATAGCTACCTGCTGTCGGAGCAGTTTGAGGTGAGTGGTACCAGTCATTTTTTTTTTAAGACCATCCCAGAAACTTTGTCGGGTTGAGTGATGACTGTATTTGCCGTGATGATGTTGGCGACATTGTCGTTTTCTGATGCCGGCAGTGTTGTTGACGATAACGATACGGGTCGCGTTCCCGATGATGGGAGCCCCCGTCTGAAAGGCTCTGTTGTGTTCCAGGCGCAGCCCTTCTGGTATCGCTGTCTGTACATCATCATCTGGGGGAAGATCACTCTCTACAAATACGTCAGCTGCTGGGTCATTGCGGTCTGTATTTTTCTTTCTTTGATCCTAGGGTCAAACTGCTCTCTGGAGTAACCCCTCTCCAGCTCTCGGACCCTTGTCTAAAAGTCTCTTCACCTTTGATGGAGTTAATTGATTAACCTCTACTGTAGGTTGTCAATATCATTAGTAATTAACATTAATAGCAATAACTGTATTGATAATAGTATAATTCTAACTATGATATGATTTATTATTAATGTTATTGTTGGTAATGGTAATAATTACTAACCCCTGCTATACACCCTTAGAGCATTTGGAATCTCTCTACCTATGCCTATACTTATTATAAATGTCTCTTTTCCCTTAACTTAACCCAAAAATGTTTAAAACCTAAGTGCCCAACCCTGAAGGTTATATTGGCCACCCTAAATCTGTTGTTGCTAAAGATTTAATAACTTCTAAGTTATCAATTACGCAATTAATTCTCACTATTAAGGGAGTTTGTGTCCTTGTGGGCTGAAAGGTATTCAGGTGTTGGTTCCATAGTCCCACTAAAGGAGCTCATCAGACCACCTGCCTATTTGATCGCAGCCCAGCTAGTCTTGTGAAACTGGGGGTTTGATGGGTGTGTCAGACCTGCTGGACAGGGGCTTCCAGCAGCCAGGGTTGGGGGGTCTTTGGGTTGGTGAGTTAGGCTCGATTTAAAATTAAAACTGAAGGAATTAAATAACAGCTCTGGTTATTAGTGATACAGAGCTAATAGAAGAACATGCTACGTTTCCCCATAGTGGAGGTAATCGGGCATCGTGGTTGGGGGGGGCGACAGGGTGCCGGATTTGGCCCTTGTGACCCCCGGCGGCCCCCACCGGTCAGGTCTGCGTTTCCGCCTTGACCTCGGCCTTCCCCTCTCGACCGCAGGAGGGGGTGTGCATTCTCTCGGGCCTGGGCTACAACGGGCGCGACGCGGCCGGCGTGGCCCTGTGGGACGCCTGCGCCAACATGAAGGTGTGGCAGTACGAGACCACGCCCCTCTTCACCGGCACGATTGCGGCCTTCAACACCAACACCAACGCGTGGGTGGCCAGGTAACCGCTTCCCTAAAGAGCATCTCGATGCAGGAAACGGCACAGGACTACATTTCCCTTGATCCCACACAGACCCCTCTCTCGGCATTGTTGCCCCAGTGCACTATGGAAGTTGTAGTCTTAAAAAGGTAATGAAACTGCCTTTTCTGGTTTTTATTCAATGCTCTATGTATGAATGGCTCTTTTAGAAACACTTATTTAGCCATTGTTCAGTTGTCTGAATCAGTGGATTCACCTCTGGTGACAAATAATAAACTTTATTTTATATAGCGCCTTTAAAAGGTGGCTTCTCAAAGCGCTTTACAGAATGACAACAACAAATAAAAAGAATACACAAGATATGTTTGTTGGATAGTTGGTTTAAATTGCAGTGAGTTTGTTTTTGATCATGGATGTGTTCTCGAAAATGGCGATGAATACCAAAAATGTATATAATCAGGATTGCCCCCATAACAATTAATGTAATTACTTGTTCCATAGGTTGTCTGTAAAGCACAAAATTCATACACTGTCGTTCTACAACATGACCTATATTTATTGTACTGCTGAAAGATTACCGTTTACTAAAAAGTCTGATGATTGTCTGAAAGATCTGGTGTATAACAGCAGTGCAGAGTATCATTTCAGTTTATACAGTTCCTAAATTGACATTCCTGACTGATTTTGCTGGAAAAAATAATCGAACCCTCAGTGCTTGAATTTGCTGTTTTTATTTGCAAGCGGTAACAGGGAGATTAGACTTGAACTGAGAAACGGCGTTTTACAGCCCCAGTGTGTGCTGGTTTGCAGTCCAGCTGGGTTCTTAATGATCCGAATCTGTGCGTTGTTGGCATAACTGGACCTGTGTCACAGCTTCTCCCAGTTCTTCCTGTGCTGGTGCTTGAAACAGCCCTGTAAATCCTGTAGCCTTACTGATCCTCCTGCAGATTTACATAGTCTTAACTGGCACAGTGGTCAGCATTACTGCCTCGCAGAGCTAGGCCCCCCTGTATATTTTAGAAGGCCAAGTGTCTTTCAGGTCCTTCAAACAGAAGACCCAGAGCTGTGCCCATTTATACTCGGAGGCAGACTAATTGCCAGCAGCTGAGACTCATTACACAGGAAATGAGCCTGTTTTCTTTCCCTTGCCTGCTGGGAGATGTAGTTTCCAAAGCTTCCATGTTGCCCTGTGGAACTACAACATCTTTAGCAGATAGGGTTTTAGTTGGATGCTTCTCAAAATCTGCTGTGTGTGTGTGTATATATATATAAGCTTGTCCAGATTTTAGCAATCAATTCTCAAATGCTGAGATGCCTTTTAATGACCTCTAGTAGCAGGTCATCTGCAACTGCAGCCCTTTTTAAAAATGGCCACAGACAGGGTATGTTGTCTTTGGTTACCATGTTATCAACAAGGGTTCAGAGACTCCCCCTTCCAGTCCTGGAGGTCCACACACCTGCTAGTTTTCTATTCCAGCCTTGCTCAACTATTTCTTTGCACTGACAAGTTTCTCCATTGTATATTTTCAACGTCTGGGTTTTTACCCTGTGCAAAGGCAGGCTCCAACATGTCCAGGAACTGAAATCGGTCAATTAAAATAAATCCGATTTTGCTATGGGATCTTTAATGATCATGTAATCAAGACGCCACATTACCTGCCACCAGAGTGGGGTTTTGGTTTGCCGATTGGCGTTGCAGAGGCATGAGCACCACCTGCTGGTCAAACAGCACCACTTAGAGCTGCAGCCTGGTTTTCCTCATCCCGGTACTGGCCAGGCCCAGCCTTGTTCAATTGTTCTGAGATCTGACTAGATCAGGCTAGCAGGCAGTCATGCATTTCGGTGTGTAGTCTCACTGTACAGAGTGCGGAGTGTCTCAGGGTATGCAGGGGTTGGCAGCTTTTTTTTTACCCTCTCATTTAGGGTTTCTTTGCACACACTTCCCTCACAGTGCCCTTTTTCCTTGTATCCATCTGTCTTCAATATACTATATTTATGTCTCCCTATTTCCTATAAGAGATTATCCCCTTCCTTCTGTTATTTGGATTGCTCAGCAGTGCCATTGCATTGTAGGAACTAGAACAGTCATTTGCACTTCTGCAAGGCAGTGCCTTAAAAACAAAGCATAGCAGCCCTGTGTGCATGTTACACCTCGGTGCTGGCGCACTGCGGGAGCTGTGGTCTCACCGTGTCTGGCTGGCGTTTTGTGGCTTTGCAGACACGTGTTCAAGCGCCTCAAGTTTCTCGGGAACAAGATGGCGTCCCAGGCCGCCACGCTGTTTTTCCTGGCCATCTGGCACGGCCTGCACTCAGGATACCTGGTCTGCTTCTCGCTGGAGTTGATCATCGTCGTCGCGGAGAGACAGGTGGGAGACCCTCGCTGGGCGGCGCGGCTGTCCTCCTGTAACACCCCCCCGCGTGTTTCTTCGTTTCCCAGCGTCGCCGCACTGATCGTTTCTCTCCATCTCGGCTCCTGGTGTGGGGAAATATCCCCTCTCGTGGCGTCACTCTGCAGCAGGAGAGTCTCCTTGCTCAAGTCTGAAGTTAGAAGCAGTTGCTGCTCGAGCACTGAGAGAGCGCTGGATTTCCCTCTCTTGGTCCCGCTGTTTCTCTCCTTTATCCCACCTTGCTCCTGGCTGGGATTCGTAAGCTTCCCATGGCACCGAGACCGATGAACCCCCGTTTTGACCTTCAGAAAATCTGTCTAGGGTTTGACCAAAGGCCGCAACGTAAGAGAGATTGGATTCCCCTGGGAAAACTAATTTTATGACCCCAAAATCCAGGGAACCAGAATCGATGTCCGTATTCCAATCAGGAGGGGGAAAAAACCCCCAGGCAAACTGACTAGAAAAAAAGAAACAAGCTAGGGGGAGGATGTGGCCGTACCAAAAACAAGTCTTCTTCCGCATTCTACACCCGTCTACATTAACCACATTGAAAGCAGAAAGAAACATACAACACGTCTTCGCCCATCCCAAAAACCACACACCGCTCGATGGGCTCCCCCCCGCCACCTCCAGCACCTGGAGAAAGA